ATGTTTCTAACTCTCTATCCCTCTCCCTTCCTCTCTGTAAAAAATAAATATTTTTTTTTAAATTGTGGGGGTCGGGGGGACAATGGGGAGATAAGGACACATATGTAATACCTTAATCAATAAAGAAAAAAAAAGGTTAAATATATATTTACCAAAAATACAATTTCATTCTTAGATATATACCAGAGAGAAATGAAAACATATATACACACAAAAATGTGTACACAGATGTTCATAACAGCATTATTCATAATAACAAACTAAAATCAATCCTTGTGTTCACCAATTAATGAATACATAAGCAAAGTGTCATATATCCATAATAAAATAGTATTCAGCATTAAAAAGGAATGAACTACCAATATATGCTCTAATATGGATGAATCTCAAATACATGCTAGAGAATAACAGAATCTAGGGACAAAACACTACGATTGCCTTTATATTATTGCATGTCCATTACTTATACATATGGAGAACTATATTATTCTACAAGTCTTCTCTGAACTAGACTCTGGGATAGAGATAGAACAAAGAGGACTTGCCATACAAACTCTGTATTGAGATTTATTTGATAAATGAAAAAGGTCTTTCACTCTAGCAGGTAAAATTAGTTTAGCTATCATTCCAAAAAAATAATATCTTGCTTTTAGAGTAACTGTCAAAGAAAAAGCTCTCATCAGGAAAATATGAAGAGGATGATGTTAGCAAAAATGGTGAAGACCTCCAAAAACTCATATCTCCGTAAAAGCAATAAAGAAGCTGTCCAAAAATCTCAGCATCACCTTTTTCAGAACTCTGGAAATTAATCAAAGGTTTGTAGCTACCTGGGGAGCACTTATTGAAGGAAAATGGCTGAATCTTGGTAAGACCAGTGAGCTCTGTGGTGTTTTAACTTGCCCTAGTCCTACTACATGCTCTTTAGCTACACAGTATCTTGAAAAATAAGCTTGTGTTCTCAGAGCAGCCACCAGAGAAAACAGAATAAAGCTGGAGCTCTTTCAAAGCCTCCTTCCCAAGGAACTGTAATTAACTGACCCCTCAGGTGGTTCCCCGCAAGACCCCACATATAGGCAAACACAGAGCTTGCCCAGAGCAAAAAGCCTTAGGGGGAGGAGAGGGCCAAAAGCATTTGTCAGAAACAATTATAGACAAGTGTTTACCTTTACAGTGCCTGAAGTGATAAATAACAGTCTGAGCAAACAACAGATTAACCAAAAATCTTAAAGGAGAAGCTGGAAAATGTGATGTCCATTAGGCTTTGAAAAGCCACAGACACATAGAGGTATGCACATGCTCAGTAAGACCCCAGGAAACCCTAAGCTCTCACCTCTTGCTGACCTTGATACTACACAAACAAGAAGCAAAATCAAAGGCAGAGTTATAAATTGCCTGACTCAGTGCTGAAGGCATACCCCAACACACCTATAGAAAAAATTAACACAAACAAGTTGGTTCTTTGACAGACCAACAATACTGACAAACCTTCAGGTAGAATAACCAAGAAAGAAAGGACTACTAAAATCAGGAATAAGAGGGACATTAGCACAGACCT